TATATATATATATATTTATATTGGACTCTTAATGGGGATACCAGGAGTTTAGATTATGGCTCTCTAGAACTATTGGTTATTGCTGATCAGGGCCTCTCTGCTACCCGGTGGTTGGCTGCCTCGTCTGTTCCTTTTCTCATCTTAAGGGAGCTACTGGATCACGGTCGCAGTTTGTTGATAGCCGATCTGCTGGTAGTGATTGTGCTCCATGACCCCAGCAGTTCTTGTAGGAATCATGGGACTTTCTTCTCCACAACCCAAAACCGAAGCCCTGAACTCTAAACCGTGTGTTTCCAACAAATGCCTCTGGTATGACGACATCTTGGAGTAAAATATGTACACACATATGTATTTATATATGTCTTTGTTTATTTTCTGGGAGTCTTTTTCTTGGCAGCAGCGGGGATCCAACATCCTGACCACAGATAGATCACTAGACCCAGCACTCTTTGTCTAAAGCCCAGGAAGCCTCCAACTGCCCTACCCCCTAGATCCCAAACCCCAAAACCACAAAAGTCTTAGCCTATAGAAGCCCGTCTAAATTCCTCAAGTATATGGTACTTCCATAAAATTTCTTCATTCTCTACAAGGAAGAGGGCATTGCAGGTCTGATGGTGTAAAGATCCCTGTATGTAAGGAAAGTTTTCATTTCAATTTCAATTCTCTTTTTAGTCTACTTCGCAGGGCCCCTGACACCTAAGCCTCATTTACTCCCATACATCCCCATATCCCCATGTTTCCTTATATAATCTTTCGAATTCCTTGTAGCAAGCCCTGATTTGCTGGGTTGCTGTTAAGGAATGTATAAAAAGTACTGTAATACGGACCAGTTTTGGGTGGCCAGGAGCGCCTGGTTGTGGACATGGTGCTGCGTTGGGCTTTCGAGCATCGCATGGATGGCTTTCGCTTCGACGCTTTTCCTGGGTTTTGAGGGTGAAGGGTAAAGGGTTTAGGGTGTCAAGGTTATCTACGGTATATAAGTTATATAGGTTTATGTAGGGTAGTTATAGCTGTCATGTCCCTTATGAATAGGGCTATGTAGGGGTATCTAGCAGTTATATCTGGTTCAGGGCTTCCAAAAGACTGAGTCCCTTTCTGGGGTCCCATAATCACGTGGCCTTCTTTTGGAAGCCTCTAGATAAATCGGGAATTCACGGTGTTGAGGTCTAGAGGGCTTGATCGGTTTTATGGACCAAGAGACAGTTCAGTAGCCCAGGACCTGATGGGGCACATCACCCTGCAATGCATGCAAAAGTGCCGCGCGGCGCTGGATGACTTGTCCTTGGAAGAGCATGGGATTGATGGGCCAAGGCCACAAAGGGCTGGAGTGCTTGCAGGGTCATGGGGACTTAGTAAGTGGATGCTTGGCTTTCTGGATGGGATATAGGGACTCTCCAAGTAGGGAGGAGGTTCAGGTTCTTCTTTCCCCAGATGAACCTTGACACCCATTTTGACTGATGGCAGTCCTTGTAGGTTTTATTTGGGTGTCCAATTCAGCTTGGAGTCGGGTTGATGGAGTGTGTAGGATTACCCTAAACCCTAAACCCCTAAACCCTAAACCCCTAAACCCTAAACCCCTAAACCCTGAACCCCCAAACCCTGAATCCTAACGTGGATATTTCAAACCAGGGGCATTGGACCAACTTCGCTCCACTTGCATGTTGCTGCAGCTGTAGGTGTAGGCGTTAGTTCCTAGCAGGTTGTGTACACCTACTATATGAGCCATAGTCTAAACTCCTTAAAGGGGGATATATAGGGGGTTATATAGGGGATTATATATGGGACTACTAAGGGGTTGTTAAGGGGGATACTAGGAGTTTAGACTATAGCTCATATTATAATAGGGTATATATTGGGGTTATATGGGTGGTTGTCAAAGTTTATGGTTCCCTTTTTGGGTTCCTGAAATGTCAGATGTTTCTGAGGCCCTCCAAGACCCATGGAGCCGATGGCATTTGCGTTGTGTGTGTTTCAGCCCCAGGTCCATTGACCTTGGCTGTAAAATGGAATCCTAAAGAACCCCCCCCGACGAGGCTTCTGCTCTACGGCGAGGGATGGGAGTTCGGTGAGATTGCCGGAGGAGCAAGGGGCAATACCGCCTGTCACGCGGCGGCAGCGTGATGGATGTATTTTTGCTTTCCGAGAGAGCCCTCTTCGCCCCAGAAATCTTAAGAGAAGGAAGGATATGTAAAGGAGCTTTAGAGCCACATTCCCTTTGCAAAAGTACGTTTTTCAAACTGCCAAATCACGGATGCATTCTTTATTCACATGTAAGGGGCAGGGGCTAAGCAATGTCCTGCCCAATAGCTTGTCTCAGTGATTTTGAGGCCCCTGAAAACGTTTGTTGAAGTGGCTATGCCCGGCAAGGGCTTCCATCACCAATTTCCAGTCAGAAAGTCCGATCAGAAAAGAACCCTAAACCCTAGACACCTTAAGCCCCAAGCCCTCAACTCTAACTCCTAAACCCCTCGACTTGCAGACCTGAGCTCCCAGCCTTAGCTGCAGTCTTGAACAGGCAGCTCCTCCTGTTTCCAAAAGCTGGAGCTCGTTCTCTTACTCATGCTTTGGAAAACGGAACTAGCTTTTCTTGGTAAGGAAATCTCCGTAGCATCATCCCCATCGAGCCCCAATCCAGTTCCTGAAGGTTACTGTGCCTTTCCTTCATGCCCGCTATATCAGCACTGGGCCCCAAACTCTGAATCCAAACCTCTAGACCGTAATCGCCCAATCCTACCTGAGGCCTAAACTCACCCCATTGTTTTCAGGTCAGCGTTTGCTCGCTGGCACCGGCATTGCGTCCTTCAACGACCACTTGCGAAGCGCCGCTGGGGCCCCGGTGCTTTCAGGAATCTTGCCCGCTTTGTGGATTGACACGGCCTAGGATTCACAGGGTGTCCCATTTAGGACTCAGGGTTTAGCATTTACAGAGCTATGCGGCTTCAAATCAAGGTTGACAATGGAGTTGCCCCAAACTGGGTCTGTGCCTGGAAACGGGTCTATTAATTTCATAAGCTATTTATTGGCACACAGAATATGGACGAGGGCTAGTGCACAGGTGTAGGTGGTCTCTTGTTAAAGGAGCCCGATCTTCAGCACATCCGTCAACAACCAGCGCCCAATGCGCGTGGAAGATCCCAGTTGCCAGTAGGCTTCGCAAGTTCTGAAGATGAGTCGTCCTCTGCTAACCCCCCTTCCAAAATTTTGTTTATTTTGAGCATGTTCGTAGAACGCCATTGAGCCTGGCTGGAGGTCTTGGGCGGCAATGCTTTCGAGGATCCCAGGAAGCAGGGATTCGCCACAGGCTACCCTGGGCAGGGCCGACCGTTGATAGTCACAAAATCCTGCCTGACCCAAATATGCTGCAGTACCAAGATATTCAATTTCTTGCGGAACTCAGGGCTTTGATTAGGGAAGTTGGTTCGTAAGACTGCGGGTCAAGCTTGATCCATTTCACTCGGCCAGTTACAAGGAAAGCCATGTTCCCAGAATATGGATCGTCACGAGTTTGGAGAGACCATTCGAAATAGAGGATTGTAGCACTTGATAGCAGTTTGGGCCAGGCAGGTGTGTTGCCCCTTAGCTGTAGGAGGGTAGAGTGGAAAATGCAGGCTCTGCGGCTTTTCTGGGAGAGGTGTGCGAAGTAATCCGAGGTTCAGGTATCTTGGAGGAAAGGGTGCTCCTACAACATGAGCTACTCGTATAATTAGTCTAAACTCCTTAAAGAGGCCTGTGTATATGGGGCTATACTTGCTATATGAGGGACTACAAAAGGGGTAATTAAGGGAAATGCTAATTAGGAGTTTAGATTGCCTAAACCACAAAAATTGAAAAAATCATGGCCAAAACCCCTCACACTAGCCCAAAGGGCCATTATTCTACAACCTTTTGGGGTCTAGATATATGAAACCCTAAACCCAAAATACCCTCATACCCTGAATACCCTAATACCCTACATACCCTGATACCCTAAACCTACAGTAGCTCACATGCAACTTTCTTCTCGTTTCATGGGGGCCTACTGGGCCGCCTCCCCATCTTTGGAATTTGCTTGCCTAGCCTGTTTGACTTAGTAGCTGGGTAGGTAACCTTTAACCTTTTGGGCTTAGGGTTTAGGGTTTAGGGTCTAGGGTTTAAGGGTTTTGCTTTAACCTGTTGGGAAATATATTGTCCTATTATAATACAAAGGTTAACTTTTTAGGGGCCAGGGAACTCAGCAACTAGGTTGAGTAAGCGTTTTAAGAAGAAATCCGGCGAGCGACAGAGTTCATCGATTGCAGACATCATTTTGGGACTGGCCCTAAACCTTAACCCTAAAATCCTAAAACCCTAAAACCCTAAAACCCTCAAACCCTAAACCCTATGGCAGTACCAAGAATTAATTGGAGAATCCTGCAGCCATCCTTCAGCAATGCCTTAGAATTCTTAATCTCCAGGTCCAGCCGTCCTTTAACTCATTTGAATTCATACATAGGGTTCCCTTCATAAATAAGGGGAAACCTTGGCATACTTCAATAGATGACTGTCCCTGTTACAGGGACTCCCAAGCAGGAACCCGTGATTTTTGGAAACCCATGTACATTGATACTTTCATTCTCTTTGGAGTGTTGTCAGGCCTGGCTCTGCGCGCTCCAGCAGACAAGGCCACGGTGACCGGCACTGGCGAGTCACTCCTCCTGTACTTGGTACAAAGCACGGGGATCCAAGTCTATAGATAATACCTCTATATTTGGCCCTAAACTCTAGGCATATTATTTACATTTGGCTATTTGGAGCCTAGTGGAAGGGCTGCCTGATGTCGGTCAGTCAATCACTGGGCTGTTCAGAGAGCCGTTGCAATGTTGAGTTGGTTTATCTTTGGGTTTATAGCTGCGCCGCGGCCGTCAGCCCTGAATCTCTAGCCCTAGTGTAAATCCACACCGTTCAAAGGTGAGTGCCCTGAGGCTTCTTGCAAATCTTGATATGGGGTATACCAAAATGTCCCATCTCATGGGGTACCTGACAGATGCTAGTCCTTGTCTTGAGGTGTGTAAATGTAGGATGCAATGCGTCTCGGGTTCGTATATAGGCACCTTAAGATGTTACACGTAGATTAGCCCAAGCCCCAGACTGTCAAGAATCAACACGCCCTACACTTCCTATACAGACCCTGGGAGTCAATCTCAGCATGTTGTCAACGGGAACTGTTCCTCTCATTGCCCATATCGGTTGTTCTCTGATTTTCATGATTTGTTGCATCATGATTGTTTCGTGCCGTTTGTATTGTCACTATGATCACGCTTCATTACCATCGTGTCTATGACGAAGCTTACCTTACTAACATAGCTGTTACTAGCACCTAGGCAAGATTTGCGCATGGCGGCGGATGTGCTACGCGTCTGCCTTGCCGCCGGCCTACAGCAGTTCCGCTTGGAGCAGGAAGGTGTCGACAAAAACCATAAGCAAAGAAGAAACTGTTGATCTTTTTTTTTTTTTGCAGCGGTTTTGATTCGTTCCACTTCCCATACGGCCGACGACTACCTGTACCTCGCATTTCATTGTGTGACGGGCGGAATTGCTTTGAAATCTGTTTGATCCTACTGGCATACGAGGTTTATGTGTAAAAAGTTGGGTCAGCTGCGACCGGATCCTAACACAGCGAATTCGTTTCCCATATTTCAACTATTTGGATGCGCGCCACGCAACCCACAACATACTGGAGGTTCTCAAAGTTCAAGGTTTTTCAAAAATTCAGTCCATGAAAAGCATGAACATGCACCCGTAGTTTCGTTTGAGTGCCTTCTGAATTTCTGATTTCCGTGACAACTGAGTGGTATCGTTTCGTCTGCAATCTTCGGGGGGCCAGCAAGTGCTCAGCCGCGAGTTGCGGGCTACCTGTTTCCTGTCAAGCTGCTCATATAGTCCCCCGTAAGTAGATCGAACATGGCTTTGAGTATATTATAATAAGATCCCCATATACCCCATATTCTTTCTACTTAAGGGGGACTATAGAACTTTGCCTGTCGGAGCCAGGGCCTTTCTTTGAGTTGTACGTTTACGCTTTTGATGAGCTTGTTCTTCCGCCCGAGAGATTGGCGTACACTGCATAACTTGCGTCGAACAATGCACGGTAGCCATGTGGTTGAGGCATGATCAGTAGACATCCAAAACCTTGCAACAGTACACGTGTTTAGTATGCGGCAACACCACGGCCTTCACACAGCCCCATAAACAACAGGCCTGTGGGCAAAATTACTGAAGCTGCAACACACATTGCGTTAGCATAGGCTCAGCATAGACGCACGTGAGATTGCGATGCCGAATCTGCTTCCATCTTAAAGCATCATGTACTTTGCAGCCCATACGAAGCAGCATTTGTTCTGTGCTGTGGTGAGTGCACTTGGATATATGTGGGCATCCATGTGGGCAGACCAGAAATATTTCCTTGATCCCTACACTACACGGGACAGGACTGCCTGGGCAAGCGCAACCTGTTAGCCAACCAGGCTTGCATGACTTCAGATAAGCAGTATCTTTGTATGGGGATACTGGAGTCCCGGTGTATTATCTTTTTATAAGAAGAAACAAAATCCGAATATTTTCAAGTTTTCAGATGTTCGTCGAAGGTGTGGAGCTATGTAGTGTCGGCAAAGCCCATCATCACCTAAGAAGCCCCACAAGGGGCATTCCGGGGTCATTCTGGGGGAGTGCATTAGCAGCTTGGGCAATCTCCTCCGCGGGTACTTCAACGTATAGTCCCCCTTAAGTAGCTAGAATATGGCTTTGGGTATATTTTACTAAGATCCCCATATACCCCATATTCTTTCTACTTAAGGGGGACCATATGAGGAAGTCTGACGGACTTGAGAAGTCTGTGTTCGTCATTGTTGCCGGGGCTATCGCCTTCGAGCCTGAGCACCCTAGGCCACGAACCCCGAATGTTTACCATGGAAATCCATGGAAGCATCATCACAGTCAGCAAGCAACAGCGCAGGCGTCCACAAGCTGTCCATTGAAGCCAGCAAAGTGTTGAGCCCATGGGGTTTCTGCACACATGAAGTGACTGTGAAGGTCTTGATTGTCCTATTGAGTAAGCTATACTTCCAGCCTTTCATTCCCTTCGGTCAGCTTCACATCCGTAAGCTTAGAACTTTAAACCTGAAACTGTAAATCCACAACCCTCGCCTGGAAATCCCAAAGACACAGAATTCCACGGAAGGGTAAGAAAATCCGTAAACCGAAGAAACGCGATTTTTCGGCTGCGGAGAAAGCATTGTTGTGCAGGTGCATGGGGGCCAGGCAGCATATGTGGCCGCGCCTGAGGAGGCGACTTGTGGGTGGGGGTGTAAGGTATACCTGAAGACAAAAAGTATGTAGAATCATAGGGTTTTGTGCTATTTGTAGGCGTTTTGGGCTATTATTCTACCTTCTCTTGGGGTCCAGGTAAGGTTTAGGAGTTGAGGGAAGGGTTCGAAGTCAGAAGGTGAAGCCCTGGCTTCGATAGACACGTCAACATCATGCGCTTCAAATCGGAGGGAATATGGCTCAAGTATATATGGGTGGTTGTCAAAATTATGGCCCTTTTTGGGTACCCTAAATAGTAGGTGCCGTATTATAATAGGGATCCACAAAGGGACCATAATTTTGACAACCACCCATATGTGGAGTCATAACCGAAGCCCAAGCAAGGGAATCATGTAGGGAGATGTGAAATCTTGGACGAGTTGTGGCGTTGGTTCTGGCAGTTGGGTTGTTTTTTTGAGTTCCGCGCTAGTTGGGAAGAGGGTGTGAGGCTTGTATGATAGGCTCTCTTGCGTCTCACTTCACCGCAGCCAGGGTTTGTCTCCCCCTGGGTTTTTCCCTGGCTTGTATAAATGCAGGCTTTTTGTACACAGAGGACACTGCTTAGTTGTCGAATCTACACTTTTAGAGAAACTCTATGAAGGTTACACAAGATCAAGGAAAACTGTTTTTTTTGCTCTACCGGTATAGGACCCCGTGAAGCAGGCTAGAATTAGAACTTCACAGAGGTCTTCAAAGCCTATCAGACGCTTCCCACCTTCCACGTGAGACAAGCCCTTAAGGAACCGCCACCCCAATACCTGCGCCCGAAAAGGGTACAGAACGCAATGAGCATGCGGCCCAGAAGTATGATACCGCCTACCATATTAGAGCTTGGTGACCAAGGCTTTTCTTAAGGAAATCTGAAGCAACAAGTAATCAGGATCTCAACAAAATTTTTATAGTTGGGATACTCAGAGTCAAATACTCTTTTCCGATGATTTTTAGTCTTCGTTTCCCAACTAGCTCGTACTTGGGTCTGCTAGGGGGTTCCCAAAATTAGAGGTAGCATTTCGGGGGGTCCCAATAGTGATGGTTATCGTATTTTGGAGTCTGTATTGGGCCCCCCTATTTAAGGAAACGACCAAATTTACACACGCGCCCAGGTGGTCAATTTCATCTGCGTCCACGACACTCGGCGGGCTCATATGAGGTTCGGAATATTGAATTTCATATGCATTCATCATGCGGAAGATAGAAAGAGGCTGTTTTCTTGGGTTTGGACATTGAGTGTTTTTTCGCGTGCTTTTCCCCAGGCACCACTCTTACATGTTCTTTGCGTTGCCAATAGGGAATTGGAGCAGGTGAGGTTATTCCAGAATGGACTGTTGAGTATGGCTACTCTTGGGAATGCTACGGTCCTCTCTGCAACGCAGGTGAGTAGCAGTGCTAACCCCTAGTCAGGGGTAATTACGTTTGAACACGTTTTCTAGATTTTATTACCCTTGATCCCCTAAAAGGCCGTAAAAATCATAGGGCCCCCCAAACCTACCCTAGTAGTGCTGTTGTGCAGGCTCAGAGGGTCTCAGTTTGGCGCACAGCCAACTACAAGTTCATGCGACCTGGGACGTAAGCAAATCCTTTTTTCAGTACTCAGTTTCGTAGAGACTTTGACATGTGCTGTGAGCACAAGGTAGAAAAACGCTCATAACAACCTAGCTATCTAAGCCATAGTTGCTTTTGAGTTGTGATATGTTGCGCTAACGTGTCCCATCACCTGTCTAGGCTGGGTAGGTGTTGCAAGACTAAGGACAACGAGACTCTTTACGACAGCACTGTGTGGAAGATGTCACCGGAGAGTACAGATCCTGAGGACGCAGAGTCATAGATGTCTTAAGAGGTCGAGGGAAGGGTTTGCCAGTTCCCAGAACTACAACCATCGTAAAGGGTCGCGCAAGATGAGCGAGCGCCCTCGGATGCAAAGGTCACTGTGATATAGAGTTAGTTGAGTGAGTGCTATCACCTTTCGGGTTCACCGTCTGCGGATTTGGGGTTTCTACAGTTTGCAGATTCGTGCTTCGAGTATTCGGGGGTTGTGCAGTTTGAGAGCAGGTACGTGGTGTTTCATGCAGCTGAAACCAAGAGGGATCCATTCCTTCATTCCTAGCTAACCAAAGGTAAGTCTTGGCTGATTTGACTACACTTGACCGGTAAAGCAAACTCACAGTTGCTATAATAGTTATAGTCCCCTATAGTTTTCCCCTATATAAAGCCTTCGGTGGCCCCCCATCCTGTAATAGTGACTACAAGGGATAATATGGATTATGTTAGGGTCCTATTAAATTCCAGTTATACCAGTATTACAGTGTGGGGGGTCCTCCTAAATACTACCCCTATATAACTCCCCTTGGGGGCTTACAACTTCTCTTCCTGGCCCAGGGGAATGGTATTTATGACTCCGAAGGGTGATGCAGAATCCCACAAAACCATGCACTGCCTTGGTGGTGCACATGCTGAGGAATGTCTGCTGTTTCTGTGGAGAGTTGCTGATGTTTATGGCGTGTATGGGGTTTAGGTTTATTGGGTGCAGGGCTTGGGGGCAAAAAGCATGATGCTGAGGGCTGAGGGGATGTTGGTAGGGGATGAAGAACTCAGAGCTTCGCAAGCAGCACTCTAGCAGGGGCACCCTCGGTTTGCTTGCGAAGTTGGGCAAATCCATTTAAACAAGTGTGGCATCCATGGGTCGGTGTCGCGCAAAAGGAGCCTACAATTGTAGATGGCTAGGGGCAACAAATGACCAATTGCTGGCGGAATTAAACTGTCCCTCATTCCAGGTATGGAAGAAAAGTGAACAGCATTCACAGCTAACCAAATGCCAGAAGAAGGTCAGTGAGGCTTCAACCCGGCCGGCGGCTCACCTCTCTTCATTTTGTCGATGCCATCTCAAAGCGTGGCTGTGCGAGAAAGGCAGACACTTACCAAAACCCCACAACCCTCCAGCCTAACTCTAAGCCTTAGTAGCTGAACTTCAATTAGGGGTACTGCGGGCAAACCCTCAGCTCTACACCTTAAACCGCAGCCAGTGGAGAAAACGTCCATCAAAAACAAACTTAGACCCTCATCATGGGAGGAGCGGATGCGTGCGAACTGGCTTTGCAGCGCCTCACTGGCCTTTGGACATGGTGTACCCCTCTTCCACGCAGGTGCCCAGTGGGAAGGGAGGGCTTAGGGTTTTTGGTTTAGGGTTTAGGTTACAGGTTTAGGGTTTAGGGTTTCGAGGAGGGAAGGGAGGCTCAGGGGATGAGGGCTGAGTGGGATTTGGGGTCTAGGAAAGTTTGGGGCTCAAGGACTTTTTTTGTGGTTTAGGATGTTTAGCCTTCCGGGTGCAAGGCTGACAGGGATGGGATTAGGGATTATATAGAGGACATTGGAAAAGGACATAGAAACGATTATATGATAATAGGGTATGTTTGGGGATATATAGGGATAACTACTATAATGGGTTACATACTGTAGCAATCTGCATAGCTGGCTTGGATTTGGACATGTGGGGTAGGCCTTTGAGTGAGGTTAAGGTTTCATCGATAGGGTTCAAGGCTCAGGGTTTGGACTCCAGTGTGACCCCTATGATCCAATATAACCCATTATGATAGTTTCCGTTTCCTTTGTCCCTTACCCCCATATAACCCCAATATATCTCCTATGTTACCCCAATATAACCCTAATATTACGCTAATATAACCCTGCCTTGTCAGGTCCATGCCGAGAGTAGCAAGAAGGAGGTATATAGCCCCCCTGAAGTAGACAGACTATCTGGGACTATAATTTGATGCAAGACGCAAGACATGCGCTCTTAAAGCTTCCGACCCCCAACGCTCCGAAGCATGTGCTTTTTGTGCGTTAACGCACGCTGAAATCTTGTTTGGAGACGTCGCTTGCTCCTTCTTGTTGGTGATCCTGCAATTTGTCAGAGTAGAACCCTACATAGGTACCTTTCAACCCTTGCATGGCTTGTAAAGCAGCCACAGACCCTTAGGCAGGTCACCTCCACGTGATTCTCTCAAGCGCTAGGACCTTTTTCTATACAGAAATTGAACACAACGGGCCCAGTTCACATCTAGAATCCAATATAACCCCAATATAACCCTCATATATCCCTTATATTACCCCAATATACCTAGAATTTAAGGAGCCCTACCAGCGTTTCGGCTACCATTTAGGGACTTCCCTGCGCCACCCGGACTCGGGAAGCCTTCTGATTATCGTTCCCGTTATGAGCCATAGTCTCAACTCCTTACATGGGGTTATATGGGGGATTTTCGATGAGTTCCCATATCCGTCGAATGCCTCAGGGTTCCACAATTTGATACCTACTCAAGCCTGAACCCCATACATCATACATGGGTGAGCTTGGGCCTTCAGGAAAGTGAATAAGGAATGGCATCAGGAACACAGCAAGGGAAGATTTGTTCAAGGGGTAAAAGGGCTTCAATAGCTATACAAGGAGCACATCGGGGCTTGGGCTTAGGTTCAGGGTCTAGGAAGGGGGGTTGTTGGGAGCTCACATACCCTGGAGATCCCTCGCCTCCAGTTCTGTCATGAGTGGTCCCCTGAATAGACGTAATACTGGGTCCCAAATCATTACCAATGTTATGGCCTCAGGTTCTCTACATTATGGCAAAGGGTACCTGAAATGATTGGACCTCAAAAGGTATTGTAGCTATTTCGGTCCTTACATTGCGTAATCCAGCGCAATTTAAAGCGACCTCACCCGACCTCACCCTAAATGGTGGTTTATATAAGGAATAGTACCAAAATGGCCTTAAGCTGGGAATCGACAGTATTCTAAATTACCTTCGTAATCCCGACAATTACAACACCCCCTTGTCAGCCAGCTTGCATTCAACATTCCATCGTCTCGTCTAATTGAATCTCCGTTGCTATTGGGCGAAGATCCCTAGTCCCTAAATAGTAGCTTCCACTTCATTTTCCAATTTCCCTTTCATTTGATTTGACAAAATGAAGGGTGAGCCCTCAACCTTAACTCACATGTCGTGATCGCTCAGGCGACGAACTCCTCAGGTCCAAGTCTTTGGACCGTGACAGTGCCCGAGCTGCCAGAAAGGGGGGGGGGTTAGGGTCCGGGAGATAATGTGACTAGGGAGTATAGGGGTCCGATAATGGGTTATGCTGACATCAATCTGGTTTTTGGAGAACTAGCTTCTTTCTAGCTACATGTAAGGTCCTAACTCGTGCAAGGTACTTCACCCCCTGCAATTGTCCTAGAGTGTAGATGAGGTGTGGTTCCCTATCCTCCACCACCTCCCAAACTTTCTGGTTCTTGGTATGGAAAACGGGACTACGGCATATAGGGACTATATAGGGCTTATATCTCCTTATTTGCTGGGATTCTATAGGGGTTACATAGGGATCTATAGGGATTAAATTCCCTTTTCCCTACCATTAACCAGTAAGCACAGCAAGGCTGAACTCCTTTTGATCCTGTTTCTGGGATTCTTTGCTTGTTGAAGGCTCTCTGTCATTAGTCTCGGACTGATATGTAGTCTTAAGTCCATAAGGGGCGTTACATAGGGTTTAGGGTTAGAGATAAGGGTCTAAACTCCTTAAAGGGGGTTACATGGGGATAATATAGGGGTTTGGGTTCTAAACTCCATAAAGGTGTTTTGTAGGGGAGTATATATGGGGAGTATTTATGGGGTTACAAAGGGGGATGCTAGGAGTTTAGACTATAGCTCATATTATGCTTGAGATTGGTAGAGGCCATCAATTTTGTGGAAAAAGGTACAATTTCCCGAAGACACTCCTACGTGATAATTTTTGGCAGGCATTTGCATGGCTTCTCGCCGTTGGGTTTCAATGACTCCTTAAGATGGCCTTAGCTTAGCTTTGTCACCGACGCCGTGCCAGTAAACCCGGGACCGTAAGCCCAAAGAGTTAGCATGCTAAACCTGAGGCCCGAAGCCCTCACTCCTCAGACCCCAATTCTCCCAGGCTACAACAGCGGCGACTGGCTGCTTGCCAGCGTTGTTTGTGGGAAATTAGATTTTTTCCGGCAAGCTAGATGCCAAGAAAACGCATCTGCCCAGCGAGTCTCAGAAGAAGGGTCATACTACCTTGGAAGAAATTGGCACATATCCCATCTGATCAGATGCTGACTTGTTGATTGTATTTGTGGGTGGGGGGGGGGGTTGAGTACTTCAAACATAGGGATTCTGAACTTCGTATTTACAGGTCCTTCTCAACATCATGGGTCCAGCTTTTTGAGGGTTGCGCCTTGTATTTGGGCATGCAGAGTCTTGAGACCGCGGCACGTTGAGTCCGAGTTGCTTGAGTGGGATTCGATCTCGTGAGTTAAGATTGGGTGGGGGCTGCCACACAGACTCCCCGACCCCCAACAAAAAAAAAGTTCAACATACCGTCGAAGCAGGCCACCCCATGAATAAACCTTAAACCTAAACCCTAAACCCTGGAAGTAGTTATGGACGATGCCTCCAAATCCTGCAAGCAGAGGTTTAATCTCCTCGACTTCACCGGGGAAGAGTCGGCCTTCGGAACGGGCCTCCCGCCCTGGGGCAAGAACCACCCGAAGTGGGAGCTGATGATGCTGAGATGGATGTTTCAGAGTAGAGGGTTTTATTTTGGCTCGGAATATCCTGAAGGGTCATAATCGCAGAAGTTCCGAGGTTTATCCGTTCCTTCTGAGGCTTCGGGTGTGGTGGCAGTGCGTTTTATGGGAGTGCTATAGTACTACAGTGGTTGCCATGGCGTCTGCACGTCAAGGGATGTCTCTCAAAGGTTAATGGGATGTGCACGGATTTTGGGATAGTCGGGGCCCTCCTGAAAACTACATGCAGGTTGGTTTGGCAAGATTGAGCACGCTTCGAATCTGAGTTTTGATGGGTGCAGGGGTCCTCGTCATTTCTTGCAGATTTGTGTTTGGTGTGATTTGGCGGTCGGGATTTAGCATGGGGTTTAGGATGTGCTTCAAGTGTAGGGGGTGACCTACACTTGGGTGCAGATGTAAGAGAGTCTCATGCATTGTCGACGAATGATGCAGGCAGGCTGATTAATCGAAACTGCGCTTCCTAGACTCGTGCAGGTTTGCACGCACGACACTGTTCCCCTCCTGGGTGCAGAATCTAGTTTTGAGCTTAGTATGATCATGAAAAGACCTATTGGCAGAGCAACTTGAGCATAATAAAGTACCATATTATACCATATCAATATACGTACTATACTGTAGTATACTGTAATATATTATATTATATTATATTATATTATACTAGAATATACGATATTCATTGGGCGAACTTCGCGCTTGAGTTTGATCCGACGGCTGAGGAAGCCTCTCTTGCGAGAGCCGAGCCTGCGGCCCACGAAGGCTCTCTGAAGAGGGTAATAATAACAACAACAATAATAAACAACAATAATTGGTTTAGGGTTTAGGGATAATAAAATTAAAAGGGATAACAATCACAATACCAATAATGATGGTTGGGAGGGTCTTTTTTTCCGAAGCATCCCCCCCATAGCAGAAGGATGCTCTATGGCAATGACCGCTACGAAAGACATGTTGGGGCAAACTTCCCAGCATCATTGTTGCCGCAACTTCCCCTTTACAGTTCTTCCGATTGTACAATTGCATCTGAAAACCATTGTGGCCATGTCATCCCCAAGAAGGACACTCAAACCACATAACAATCCCTTTTCCACGTCCTCAGAGCTCCTAATTACCGGGGAATCGACGGCTGTAAAAGGATTTGGCTCTCAGGCAGAGAGAAGAACTGTTGAGACCAGAGCTGGGTCATAGATTTCGAGGGTTGCTATCAGCCCGCGAAGACTTCAAAGCTGAAGGTCATCATGGCCGCCTCCTCCCAATGCTCCCGATACTCCTGAACTTCATGTACTTTCCCCAAATTCCATGCGCTCTGAACCCTATAGCCGTCAAAAACCAGAAGCCGTCCAATAGAGGAGATGGCGGTCGCCACCACCGCAAAATTCTGCGAGTTGTTAGGCCCCTGGGCTCAAAGAGCGTGTAAGTGTAGGGGTTTCCTAAATTCGGGGTCTCATTTTGGGGAATCCCACAAGAAGGAACATCGTGTATTGGCGTCGATATGGTCGATATTGAGGTTCCCCTACTTCTGGAAACTACCATCTGGGATTTCTCGAATTGTGTCACCGGAGGGATTTTCAGGGATAGCTGGGGATTAGCGGGAGACTATACAGGCGGGATTGCTTCGAGCTCCCTGAAGTTGTTTAGGGAGCTGCTGGTCTCTAAGTATCAGTAAGGCATGCGCTCAACAGGCCAGATTCTCAGAGTTTGATGTTGTGGACAGAACTGCAGCATATATGTGCACCGGCCTTTCAGAATGCAGTTTTGCAATTCTGGGTGGAAAGCATAAGGCACGCAAGAAATCGGAACGTTTCATTTGCAAATCCTCATCCTGATAAAGATACCTTGAATCCTGGAATCTCAAATGCCAAAAGCATAAGAGGCTTGATGCTCTCAGGACCAAGATTTTTGAACTTTACGGTACAGCGCTGAGCCCTAAATCACATCCGGAATCTGGGAGGTCCCTAAACCCTAAATCCTAAACCAAGGTATCCGGAGCTCCACTCCTCTGCTGGGCTTGCGCGAGGCTGCGGATGTCATGGACAAGGCAGCGCTGCTTGGGCGGCGGGGTTGAGACTTTTTTTAGCATAGTATCAACAGTAATAGTAGTCATCATAGTATTAATAATTCTTGTACTAGCGTACTAATAGTAGTTAAATTAATAGTAATTATAGTAGTGATAATTGTCGTTGGTTTGGGGTTCAACTTTCGGAGCTTCATTTTTTTGAGGTTGAGGGTCTGGGGTTCTAGACTCTAGAAGTTTTTCTGAAACATGAGCCCGAAGCCCTGACTGGTTCGATTCCCAGGATAAGGGACTATGAAGGTTGACATTTGCGACAAGAACAAATGAACTTCTGTGCTTGTAGCTTGTTCGGGGGGATTGCATACTTGAAGGGTCAGGGGGACTAAGTAAGTGGGTTAACAACCCCTATGACCCATATAGTTACCCCAATTATTCTCCCAATTATTAACCTACTTACTAAGTCCCCCTGACCCTAAACCCTAAACAATGTAGTAGTTTGCGTTTTCTTTCCCATTGTTACTACGTCCCCCTGACCCTCCAAACAGTGCATCCCCAAGCCAAGGGTCTACATCCGCGGCCCATGCCCTTTGCTTTCCTTATGAGGCCGTAGGCCGTAGAGGATAGCACTTTCCACCAGTATCCGAGGCTCTCTGCTTCGGGGGAGCGTGACCAACTACAACACCTGGTTCCCAAACTCCTGGGCGCTTAAGCCTATTATTGTTTTATCACAATTGTTACTCCGGCTGTTCTTCTTAGCACTACTGGATTTTTCATAATACTTATAAGGGAAACACGTGGAGCTCACAGGTGCGCTTTCCCGGCTGTGGACCCGATCAGATCCCCGGCGTGGTGGTCATGGAGGTGGGGATGTCCTCCAAGCAATCCCCTGACTTAATATCATATAAAAGGGTTATATTGGGGTTATATTGGGGCTATATTGAGGTTATATTGGGGTTACATTGGGGTTACATTATTAGGATTGAAAGTTTGGGGAAGATTTCCTTGAGGGTCCAGGTACCTAAATATCACAAGACCCATTCAGATTATGGTCGTTGGGAATCTACAATGCCCTGATTTTGGGCACTCTGGCCCTTTGGGCTTGGAATTCAGTTAAAGAGCTAGGCCAAGTGCAAAACGTTTTCATGTTTTGGGAATTCGGGGATCAGGATTTTGAGGTTAAGGGTCTTCAGGGCACTGTTTTTGGGAGATGAGGGCTTCGTTCTAGCAGGGGCTTTACAGGAGGATTATTCTGGATATGCGGATGCTTACGGGAGATGCAATGCTGGAAGCAGAGACGTGATTCATACACCAAAAAACCTTGTGCAAGGAGAGCTTTGCTTGGCACTGCAGGGTACGTGCTGGGCTAGTGCAGTGATGTCAACAGGGGTGCTGGTTGTAACCAATCAAACAGGACTCATTGACAATCAACAGACCAACAGCGAGCTTACCCTACCAACATGCAAGCCCCAAAGGGGGCCCCATGAAGACAACAGCCCTCTTCAAACGACCTATACGCGGATTCCATGTTAGTTTGTGCAAGGGTAGGCGCTTTTTTTTCTTAGCTTAGAATGTGGCTTCTGTAACGCGAGGGCGGGCATCAGGAACTACAAAGGTCCTTGCCAGCCAATTGCCCAGTAATGTTTAGGAACAGTTTCGAGGAATTCGCAATTCGCACATCTATGTAAACACCGGTGCCCTCACTCTAAATGTCAAGCCCGCGCTGCTTGGAGGGTCAGGGGAGCTTAGTACTGGGGATATTGTAATTTTCCAACATAGGGGGACCCCAATATAGACCCTCATATACCATATTCCTTATCATGGAGACCACCAAAAAAGGTACCCCTAATTTGTGGAACCCTGCCATATACTTCAGCCAAATAGTGAACATCGCCATCAGCTCCAGGTGCGCAATGGGCCTTCTTCCGCAGAGGGCGCCGATGATGCTCTGATCTGCGCACCTCGGGCGGAGAATTGAAAGAAGACGCTTGGGAGGTTCAGGGAAATTTCGGGTCCTATAAACTTGGTCGTCTTTGAGCACCAAGCTAAGTATTTTGAGGACGGGTTGGGGTGCAATGGTCTTTGCATTGGGCCTTCCGCAAAGTTGTCAACCGAACAACTTACTGCTTTAATCCGGCATGAGCCTCTTTGTTCCGGTAGGGTCCTGGAGAGAAGGAAGCCGAGCAGGGTCCTTCGCATCTACATCCTTGTTTTCCGTAGAAGGTCCGTAGATTCTTTGCAAGAAAGGCAGATAGATATTCTATAGGTTTGGGCGCGATTGCGTTTTGTGAAAGCCAGACCGCCTCCTCGTAGTTTCCCCTAACACCCTAAACTCCAAGCCCTATAAACCCTAAGCCCTAAACCCTAAGCCCTGGGATCCCCGCTGGAGAGGAGGCAAACAGGCTCGAGCAAGGACCCGACGGTTGAGGGTTAATATCTAGGGAATATTCAGAAAATGTTCAGTAGTCTCTTGTTCCCTAGTAACCAGCATAATGCTAAACCAAGGACAAGTATGCCAGGGTGGTGGTTGTGCTCTCAGCTCGTCCAGACGAGGCGGGCCCAGTGCTTTGGGACCATGATTGGTTGGAGTCCCGGAGCATTCATGGCGGCACCTGTTGCTCAACTTACCTACAGTTCCACACTCTTAGTCACAGGTGTGATTTATAACCAACCGCTATGAGCAGTGAATCAAATGCAGTCAGCGTTTTGGGCTTCTTGCCCCGGCTGTAAAGCTTGATACAGCTGTTTTTGCCTCCTAGTCTCCCCATCTACATAATTCCTTAACTCCCCACCTGAAAATGCCCCTAGATGCAAGATGGCAGGTCCGAGTTGTCGCGCCTCCGCATCTTGGCACTTTGGACAAGGTACTTCCAACACTGGGCTTTAGGCTTCAAGGAGGCTTGGTTGGGGTCATCATGGGCATGGCTCTACCTGCATTAAAGGCGATTGATGGAGTCCGAGTTGAACGGATTACTGTGTACAGACTGATATGGGGGTTTCCCAAAATTAGGGGTACCTTTTTGGGGGGTCCCCATAATAAGGATTATAGTAATTTTGGGTCTACATTGGGGTCCACTTATTTTGGAAAACTGACATATAGATATACATATGCAGATACGCATCAACTTCCAAAGGGGCGCGTACATACTGTCCCAGCCATCTGCAAGGCCAGTTGGAGGTACTGCCTAGTGAAAGGGACGGAAGTCTGGGAAGCCCGGAAACCCTAAACTCTAAACCCTAAACTCTAAACCCTAAACCCCATATACCCCAATATAGACCCTATACAACCCGTTATAATAGTTTGCATGTTCTTGTCCATTACCCCTATACACCGGCTGAAGCTGAGGAGCCCTTGCGGCGGCACCTTGGCGCTCCACCCGCTTCAGGCCATCAGAGCTGATGGGTGCAATTGCTACACTGATCACAAGAGTCTACAGTGCCCCTTAGGTAGATAGTAGATAGAATATGGGGCTATATTGGGATAATGGAAAAGAAACTGGAAACTACTATACTTTAATAGGGTATGTATGGGGGCTGTGTTGGGATAATGGAAAATAAAATGGAAACTACTCCTTAGGGTTTAGGGTACAGTCCTCCTGAAGTGGATGGAATATAGGGTTTATGGTGATTTTATTATAGCCATAGTCTATCTCCTTAGGGGGGGACTATAATTTCTGACCTACTATCAGGTGGCAAGGATAGAAAGTATGATATATTATGGGCTGTTGGCGATAGAAAGATATCCAACCACAAACATGGCCTTAAGGTTCATGATGCTAGCCATGGGGCTTCGGGCGGTTTGAGCAGCCTCCCAGACCAAGGGTACAAAGCCCTTGGTGGCACTCTGTGGAAAGTGGGGCTCCCTGTATACATGAGGAATATCAGGGGATCAGGAAGGTTCCTGTTCAGGAGTATGAAGGGATTCTTCTACTCAACTTCGCTAAAGGTCCCTCTTCAGGAGTACGTATATCTTGAGAAAGCTCCCATGAAGGTCATTTCATGTGGGTCCATTTGGGTCACTCCCCTCATAGCAGTCCTCAAAACATGTGCATCTCAGGGCCTATTGTAATTCCTTTTGTGGCAATTGTTCCTGCATGGGGGTATGACCTCACTATCTCTCTGTCTCCCCCCC